ATCTTTTCACAAACATGCATACTCTGATCTCCCAGGCATGTGTGAGGACAGGAGAGCATACGTGGTCCTAGCTTATCTCGGGGAGGCTGATTGGTCTGATCGGTGACCAATTCATAGGGATCTGAAAGCAGAGGGATGCCCCCAGAACTAGCAGAGTGCCAACATGCATTGGGCAATGGTCACCTTACCTCTATGGGCAATGGCCCTCTAGCCTCTATGGGCAATGGTCCTCTAGCCTCTATGGGCAATGGTCCTCTTGCCTCTATGGGCAATGGTCCTCTAGCCTCTATGGGCAATGGTCCTCTTGCCTCTATGGGCAATGGTCCTCTTGCCTCTATGGGCAATGGTCCTCTAGCCTCTATGGGCAATGGTCCTCTAGCCTCTATGGGCAATGGTCCTCTAGCCTCTTTGGGCAATGGTCCTCTAGCCTCTATGGGCAATGGTCCTCTTGCCTCTATGGGCAATGGTCCTCTAGCCTCTATGGGTAATGGTCCTCTAGCCTCTATGGGCAATGGTTCTCTTGCCTCTATGGGCAATGGTCCTCTAGCCTCTATGGGCAGTGGTCCTCTAGCCTCTATGGGCAATGGTCCTCTAGCCTCTATGGGCAATGGTCCTCTTGCCTCTATGGGCAATGGTCCTCTAGCCTCTATGGGCAATGGTCCTCTAGCCTCTATGGGCAATGGTCCTCTTGCCTCTATGGGCAATGGTCCTCTAGCCTCTATGGGCAATGGTCCTCCTAGCCTCTATGGGCAATGGTCCTCCTAGCCTCTATGGGCAATGGTCCTCCTAGCCTCTATGGGCAATGGTCCTCTTAGTTTAATGTGCTTCACATACTGGGAGATCTTAGTGAGTGTCAGGCCTTCCATGACCATCATTAATCTCAATCTAGCAATATTGCAGATCACCTGACTTGCGTCCTTTTGTCATAGAGTGAACTGAGATTCCTGTGCACGCTTTTATCTGCTCATAACAGGCAAAGTGGTGAATATCGACCCCAACTCCTTGCGTAACTCAATGAGGCCGGGCTTTGAGGACACAATCCGCAGGTGTATACAGAGGTTCCTGTGTCACAGTGACGGTCAGCAGTGGACCTCCAAACGCCACTATCAGGAAGGTAAGTCCAGATCTATGCATGACTGTTTTATGATGAGGACCAGTCAGTGGAAAATGCTCTGTAAAATAGCAATACATGGTGTTTCTCCTCTACAGTTATTTTATATAGGTCATGTTATCAGAATTTCCCTCATACGGGTCAACTGCAGCATGGAAGCTAGTCAATTAATTCCAGAAATATCAGGAAAACTGTATATAGATGACCTGCTGCAGGTTACAGAGGAATTCTGCCTTAAAGTGCCCCTGCTTTTACCTAGCTTGTTAAGACTCTTAGACCCATCAGCCCCAGGAGCCCCTAAAATAATGCCAATTGTAGTAGTTACCAATTGGCCACTAAGCCAGATCCCGGTCATGCCCCCACAATCCCACACTGCAGTGTGAATGTCTCTTGCTGGGGTCGACGCTTTGCATTGTGGCATGCTGGTGTGAGGTGCGTCATTGAGCAAAGTTGTACCAAACTTGGTATAATTTTTGTGTTGCACCCTCACTTCTTTTTTGGGGGGGTCCATGGGGCAGACATGTTGACATTGGTAGTGAAACTTTATAGTACCCTACTGTTTTTGAGCCGTGCTATATTTGGGAAGTAGTGACAGGCTCACTTCAGCCTACAAATTGTATTTATTAGAAGGGAAACATGTTTTATGTTCTGCCGGACTCATTTCTGGTTATTTTGTACTGGTTTGGAATATTTTGATGTCACTTTTTTATAGTTTACATGCTTGCTTGCAAATTTGTTTTTATTCTTCTTCTTCCCGAGATACTCTAATTTTTTTTTTATCATTTTGCTTTCATGAGGTTTGTAAAACTATAACATGCACTATAAAGATATGTGAAAATCACAGGCTCCAAAACACAGTAAGGCCCCATTCGCATGTAGCGACTTACCTTTGCAGCGGCCCGGGATAGCGCGACTTTCGGGGCGACGGTAGCGCGACCTTCTCCGTCAGGCTCCATAGAAAAAAGCAAAATCCGCCGAAAAAAGGGTCCTGTAGAAGCGACTTGCGACCGCGACGAGCGACATGGAGCTAAGACAGCTCCATTGACTATCATTAGCCGGCGACTTCTCGCGATATCGCAGCTGAAATCGCGCGATAAGTCGCTACATGTGAATGGGGCCTAACTGCCCCTGAAAATGGTCTTCCAAAAGTATATACAAGGGGGGCAGCTCCTCAAAGTCAAGGGAAACTAAAAATCTGATGAGGGCAAAGCAAACAGAACCCCGATGAAGGAGGTTTGTCCTCAGAAACGCGTCAACTGAAGGAGGGTCAGCGCGCAGATGGCTTCGGCTTAGTACTAGCACTTCCTTTCCCTCGCCCTATTTTCGTGTATTCATCTCGATGGTCTCCTGAGATTATATCGCTTTCTGCTCGTTTTTGAAAGCTGGTTTGTAAGTACCTTTTTTCAGCTCTGGGTTTTATCCTTAATCCATTTTACACTATGGAGGCGCTCCTTTTTGCTTTGTCCTACTCCTATAATGAATTATACTGTGCTGGGTATTTAGGAATATAACCAGATATTACTTGTGCTCTGTCTTCTCTGGCTCTTACTGGTCCGGGTGTCTGAGGGTTGCCTTGTGGTCCTCTCATTGCAGCTTATGTCCACGGTCACTCGGAGACGCCGCTATACAGGTTCTCTCTGGCGGATGGCACCATGGTGACGGCGCAGACCAAAAGCAAGTTATTCCGCAACCCTGTCACGAATGATCCTCATGCCTTCGTCTCCACTCACTTCCTGCAGCGGTATGTTCTATATGATATCTGTACACGTAGCTGTCCTCAAAGAAGTTTTCAAGAAACTAGCTATATATGTTATACCTGGTCTCAGGGTCAGTTCTATCTTTGAGGGACTCTTATTGGTGGTGTCTCCTATCTTTAGTTTTCTTTTGTTGCATACATCATATCTAATGTGCAGTCACAATTTCCATCCATGTGCACCTTTGCCTTGCTAGCTATACATTGACTTGAGTGGCTGCCATGTTTTCTTTTTGTTTAATAAAGCCTCGCACACACATACCTGTCTTTTAAAGTGTTTTGTGGTTTCTTTTATTGGGTTATCTGGGGTAAAAGCTTAAGAATCAAGGTCTTCAGTGGAGGCTTCTATTGATTAACACACAAAGATGATGACTGATCCAAATTAAAGTATATTAAAACAATGGGAATACCACATTGGAGCTGTTTGACTCTATAACCCATTGATTGCTTTGTTAATTATAATGGGACAGATGGTTTTGGGGTTGAGGCTTGGGTGCTGGCAGTGTTTGGTGATGGAACGCCTATGTTTGGGTCCAATATTTCTGGCACCCAGTAATGTAAGACCTGGCTTTTTCAGGGGTCAGTGGTTTTAGTGTTGGGGTTAGTGGTTGGGTTTTAGGGGAAGGCTTTTCAGGGTTCAGTGGGTTTAGGGTTAGTGGTTGGGTTTTAGGGGAAGGCTTTTCATGGGTCAATGGGTTTAGAGTTAGTGGTTGGGTTTTATAGGGTGAGTGTTAGATTACATTTTAGGGTTAGGTTCAGCTTTTTTTTGTAGCCACGTTTTGAGTGACCCGATTCTTTTGTGTTGCATGTTTCAGAGAGCAAAATGGCTACCGACCTAATCCCAATCCAATGCCTCAAGGTCCCATGTCTCAAGGTCCTATGTCACAAGGTCCTATGTCTCAAGGTCCCATGTCACAAGGTGTGCGCCCTCCTCTGCCTCAGAATCCCAATCCCGCCAATGCCATGAATGTCTCACCCGTACAGGGTTTGCCGCCACAGAACAGGAACTACAGCATGGGAGAGCCCAACAACATGGGGCAAATGCCCGGCATGAGATACGGCCCTGCCGGCAACATGGGTCCATCACCACAGGCTCTGGGAATGCAGCAATCGCCGTATCAGAGCAACAACTATGGCATCAACATGAGCAGTCCGCCGCATGGCAGCCCCAACATGAGCAGCAACCAGCCTGGTCTTATGGTGTCTCCCAGGAATAGAGGGAGCCCCAAGATGGGATCCAGCCAGTTCTCCCCAATTCCAGGTATTTCATCAATGTGCGATAACGTTGCAATATCCTCTGAGAGAAGCATGCGTATATTTATTAATTCTGCCCCACTAAAGAGTTTACATAACTGCAGGGAGCTGTGCCCATAGAATGTAGTGGAGTTTTGTGAGGTCAAGGACCCTTCTGCATCATGATGAAAACAGACAAGCTGCTCCCCAGATAACATCCAAGTCTGAATGAAATGTGTCTTTGTGTACTTGTTAGTGCCACACCCCATGCAATTGAAAGCCTTGATGCTTGATCTGCAACTCTGCCTACTACATGTATACTAATCCTTACAACCCAAGATCCATCAACCTGGCTTGTTCCAACCTATAAATGCTGCTAGGTGTAGATCACCAAACTATGTTTTGTGCATCAGGGTGACCATATTGGTGGTGGTCAGCCAGCTGACACGCAGCCTGGCAGCAGCTATGTTTTTCTGTTGAATCCCTTCTATGTCATCCAAGCGAGAAGATGTCTCACTGATGGTCATCTGAAAGCAGATTTGCTGGACTCAATCTCACAAGCCATCGCTGCAATTTCTTTCAAGTAGAAGTGTTGCGTATGCTTCACTAACTTTGCAAGAAGACATCACTGACCTCTGTAGCTTCAGCCACTGTAGAGCAATTCATACTGAAGTTAACTGCTAGGTGACTTGTAAAGTTTGCAAGATGAACTGGACATGGAACACTACTTTAAGTCAGTGTGCCATGTTTGAGATTGCCAGCCAGGCCACTGTCGTTAAACTCCAGTGTCTTAACTACCTCCCGGCCAGCCGCTGTGTATACACGGCCTGCCGGGAGCTTCTTGGATGTAACTGGGCGTGTATACACGTCCTGTTACATCCGCCCGCTCAGGCGCGCCGTGCGGGAAATCCGGTGTGCGCGAGCGGGAAAGCGGTGTGAGCCCGGGACCAGCATAGTGCCTCTGTCACGGGATCAGAGGGAGCTCGGTCCCCTCTCCGCTGTCAGAATGCGGAAGTGTTGTATAAGACAATGAAACTGTCACACGTCGGCTCAATAGATCGGGAAGTGAGGGAACGCATACCGGCTCTCCATCACTTCTCGATCTATCCCTGCAGAGAGCCGTGACTGTCACTCACCACTCCCTGCATGGATCCCCCCCCTCACCTGTCCGATCCTCCAGCGCTGACTGGAGGAACGGACGGGGACGGGGCGGGTACAGCTGGCTCTGCCTCTAGATAGGCAGAGCCAGCTGTCACTCACGCAGCTGGGCGGATCCAGACAGTAATGTCGGGATCCGCTCCGGCTGCGGCGTCTCAGTATACCGCGAGCTGTAGCTCCCTATATACTGAGCCTAGGGTGACGGGAGGACGCTAGTTTGTGTCCTCCCGTTACCCTAAGGAGAACTATGGGGAAAAACACTGACCTCATAGTTCTCCTTTAACCTGTGTATTTATACAATGTCACAGAGTAAGCATTATCTTGCGAAAGAACATTCAATGAGTTGATAGTAATAGTGTTCCTTAACCCCTTCATGACTGAGCTTGTTTTTAGTTTCTGTTCGTAAATGACTGACACACTTTTGACATTTTTGCTGTGTGATTCTTCCACGTCAGTAATATACTTTCTTACAAAGTGCACCCACACATATTATATATTGTTTTTTAGAGGACAGATAGGGCTACATATTTATATCACATATGTGTGTCTAACGCCTCACTTAGGACAAATAAAATATAAAAAAAGAGAAAAAAAACGTTAAAAAAACACTTTTTTCCCAGTTTTGATTTGTAGTATTTTTTTACAACACCAGCACAGCTAAAAAAATGCAATAAATACACTTATTTATTTATCCCTTATTTTATTTTTACACATTTTTTTTTTTTAACTATGAGGTGAGTGAAAAGCCCCCCCCCCCCCTCATAGTTCTCCTTTAACAAAAAAAATATTGGACTGGCATGTCCCTTATCTGTTTCCTTTGTGTGCACATCTGGCTTTACGTCCTTATGTCTGTCTTGGTTGCACCTGATCTCTCTAAGCCTGGAATGGGTCGGTGCTGATTTATCATTTTCTGTCTTCTCACAGGCATGAACTCTCCAATGGGGTCGTCCGGGAACGCAGGAGAACGGAGTTTTTCGAGTAGCTCGCTCAGTGCCCTTCATGCAATAAGCGAAGGCGTTGGCAGTTCTCTTCTGTCGTCGTTGTCCTCGCCCGGTCAGAAGACGGAGAACGCTCCTAACGTGAACATGGCGCAGCAAGCTAAAATGGGAAACCCGGAGTGTAAGAGTCCGGCTGGGTTGTTCTGTGAACAGGGACAAGTGGAGAGTTCTGTGTGCCAGTCCAGCGGGAGGGAGCACCTGGCAGAGAAGGACAGTAAGGAGAATATTGTTGAAGGCCCCGACAGCCAGCGGGCACAAGTAGAAAGTAAAGGCCACAAGAAGCTCCTGCAGTTATTGACGTGTCCTACCGAGGAGCGAGGTCACAGTACTATGACCAACTCTTCCATGGACTCGGGCTGTAAAGATTCTTCCAGCAGCGTCACCAGCCCCTCCAGCGTGTCCTCCTCCACCGGGGTCAGCTCCACGTCCAATCTGCACGGCTCCATGCTGCAGGAGAAGCACCGCATCCTTCACAAGCTGTTACAGAACGGCAATTCGCCCGCCGAGGTCGCCAAGATCACCGCGGAAGCCACGGGCAAGGACAGTTTGCAGGAGTCTGCCGGCTCTGCCCCCGGCATGGAGCCGACAATTAAGCAGGAACAGATGAGCCCTAAGAAAAAGGAGAATGCGCTTTTGCGATACCTGCTGGACAAGGACGAGGGCAAGGATCAGATGACGAAGGACATCAAACCCAAAATAGAACCAATGGACAGCAAACTGGGCCAGTGCAGCAGTTCCTCTGTTCCCACCTCAAGCCAGGACAAGGAATTGAAGATAAAGAGCGAGCCCACCGAGGAGGTAATCACAAAAATCAGCCTTTCTCATGCTCGGATCTTCCCTTTAAAACCTTTCTGTTTTCAAGAGACCCTGTCACTGTGCCTTGAATGGGCAAATTGACAGAGTCTCTTTAACCCCCCCCCCCATCAGATGCACTTAAACTCACCTTTGCTGTGACTCCCCACCTCACCACTCTCTTATTCTCTTACAGCCACTGCAAAATTCCAAGTGCTTCTGGATCTGGGCTAGCATGTGACCTTCTCCCAGGATGCAGTGCTTTGGGCCTAGGGGCAGATAGCTAGGCTTGACTGCTGGCTCATGAGTAGTAGGACTTAGTCCTCGCATTATGACATTTTTGACGTAGGGGTGTGCAGATAAACCTGTAGAATCAGCAGTTCAAATGAGAGCCGAGGCCAAGAGGAAATTGTAGGCAGATGCTGACCTCCTTTCTGAAAATGCCACTCGCCTGACCTGTCTCTGGTTTTAATTCCTTAAAACACAGACCTTGAACAAGCATACGACGTGTGAAATTCTAAATTGCACATTAGTTGTCGGTCAGCTACCCCAAAAATCAGAGGGGGCACCCAGGGAGCTGGCATTTCCAGTAGATATCAGCATTGCTAGCCTGCATGTGTCTATTAGAACAGGTATCACCACCAAGACCTGCTTTGTCAGTGCAGTAGGTGCCCATAACATGACTCCACATGTAAGTGGCCTTATTCTGTGACCATTTATGACGCCGTCATCCAACCATTGCGGAAGTTCTCACTTGTAATGTGTTTTTGTCTTCTATTTGTATCTATCCTTCTACATTTTATCTTACAAGCTTGTTTTAACCTCCCTGGCGGTATGATTTTTTAATTGTTTTCATGTCATTTTTCGGTCTATTTTTTTTTCCGTCTTAGTCGTTTTTTTCTTTTTAATATACCGCCGGTTCCGCCCCCCCTGCGACGCGTACGCTCGCAAGGGACGGAACTCGGAAGCCGGCATCGGCCCGGAGAACACAGCGCCGCTCGAGGGACAAGGCAAGTAAATGCTATGCCGCTTTCCCGACTGTAGCTCTGGGTTACCGCTTATGGTATGGAAAAGTAACCCCGAGCTACCCTCGGGAATACCGCCAGGGAGGTTAGATCTACATCATGTTTTTCTGGAAGTGTTGGCCCTGATGATTGATTTATTACTTCACTTTCAGGTGACCGGCGACTTGGACAACTTGGACGCAATCCTCGGGGACCTCGCGGGCTCAGACTTCTATAAATGTCTTTTGTCAGGGATCATCTGACTGAATCGCGGCTTTATGATTATATACTCTGTGCTTTTGCAGGCATGAGGAGCCCTCAGAATGTTCAGGTGACTCGGCCTCCCTTCAATCGAGCCATGTCATTGGACAGCACTATGCCGGGTAACTCCACCCCTCCAGTTCGGAATGTTAATAATTTTCCAATGATGCCAAAGCAGGGCATGATGGGAAGTCCGAGGATGATGGATGGCCAGGATAGTTTTGTGATGCTAGGTACGAGCTCTCTTTTCACTTTGTACGATCTTTGCAGTCTTCCATAATGTGTAATTATCTGGAGTTTGTGTTTCTCTTATCTTGGTTGTAGCCTCTGATTCAGCTGCTTTTCACATAAACTGACACTAGGTGACGGCGCAGGTACTGGCATTGATTCCTGTATGGAGATTGTTGTGTGTTTTCTGAAGATCATGTGCTGAGGCTTGTCTCGCCATGTAGTAATCGCCTGTTGCCTTATGTCTGGTCAATGCAGGGAATGGAGCCAACAGGGGAATGGGCCAACACCCGGGCGGAGAGTGGGCCATGCAGAACTCTGCTGTGAACCGGATGGAGCCCTCCAACACAGGGCCGGTAGGGAGACAAGGGCCGGAATATAATGCTGCCATGCAGCGACCTGCCATGAACGCAAGTATGCCGGGACATCCGGGAAGATCCAACAGCATGCCAGGGAACCGGACGGTGCTACAGCAGCAGATGATACCAATGAGTATGTGTCTGAGATGTGTGTGTTGTGTAGGGTGACCTGGGTATTCCATAAAACACAGACCTGAGATATTTGTCTTTAACATACCTAACATGTGAAGGCAGCAATGTTTGTTTCTCTACGGTCCATTGAGAGTCATAGCCTGATCATAATGAGGAACCTCGGGTTATACTGCCACCTAAAGGAGAAACGGACTCTAAGCATGGAGATGATTGAAGGCCAGCCCTCTGGAGGCTATAAACCCCTTCCACCTTAGATTTGAAGGCCAGCCCTCTGGAGGCTATAAACCCCTTCCACCTTAGATTTGAAGGCCAGCCCTCTGGAGGCTATAAACCCCTTCCACCTTAGATTTGAAGGCCAGCCCTCTGGAGGCTATAAGCCCCTTCCACCTTAGGTCTACTCAGTTTTGTTTAATGTCCTTAGGAGAGTGGATGGCTCCTCTATTTCTGTGTTTTGAATTGGGAAGATTTTCTTCCCACCATCTACTGGTACATTCAGGCCGGATATTGGAAGTCTTGGAAGCCTCTTCAGTTGGCCAAAGAGCATGGATTTTCCCAGTTGATGAAGTATACTGGTGTTGTCTCTGTGGTGGTGCGTGTGACAACCTGTCGGGTCAGGCCAGTTTATATGCGGAGTTATCGTGTCCAGAGCTATGACCGTTCTCCTGCCACCGTCTCTGAAGACTCACTTCTTGTGAGTGCCTTGCAGACACTATGTTGTGTCCAAACGGCCATTTTACAACGAGTGGAAACTCTCAGACCAAGAACTCCTTCACCCTAAACAGTCCATGGCGCTCTATCTCCTTGTCTGGAAACGGTCTACTTCGCTAGTCAACCCACCTGTGTCTGGCATTAATAAAGCTTTGTTCATGGCAGACACAGGACAGGTGGCATTACCAGAGCGTGTTTGGTGCCTTTCAACCCTTCATCACTTCCATACTCATTCCAAGACTTTGGCTGACTGGTCCAGATCCCTGAGCAGGGACCTGGCGTCTGCTGGTGTTGACCCTCGATGTATTGATTGCGTTGACCATATCATTGTCGCCTTCGATTATGTGTGACGCGTGGATGGGTGCTAACCAGATTATGTCTTGGTCCGCAAGTCACCGGTAACCAAATTATGTCTTGGTCCGCAAGTCACCGGTAACCAGATTATGTCTTGGTCTTGGTCGGCAAGACACTCTGGTTTAACTGCTGGTCGGGTCAGCGGAGCAACAGTGTAAGAAGGTCTTGTTACGGCTATAAGGGGACCTTATAAAAAACCTGCGGTCAATATGTCTCCCTCCGCAGATGCTATTTGTAGTCAAAAAGGTTCTCCAAGCGGCTTTTAAAGGAGAACTATGGGGTCAGGGCTTTTCCCCATAGTTCTCCTTAGGGTAACGGGAGGATACAAACTAGCGTCCTACCGTCACCCAAAGCTCTTTTCACTTTGTATACTGTATGCTCGCGGTATACTGAGATGCCGCATCCGGGACGTATCCCGACATTACTGTCTGGATCCTCCCAGCTGCGGGATTGACAGCTTGCTCTGCCTATCTAGAGTCAGCTGTACCCGCCCCCTCCCCCGTACGTTCCGCCAGTCAGCGCTGGAGGATCGGAGGGGGGGAATCCCTGCAGTGAGACGTGAGTGACAGTCACGGCTCTCTGCAGGGACATGATCGAGAAGTGAGCGAGCGCCGGTATGTGTTCTCTCACTTCCCGATCTACTGAGCCGACCTGTGACCGTTTCAGTGTCACGGGTCGGCTCAGATTATGAGGCTGAGTGAAAATCACTCCCCCTCATAATTCTCCTTTTTAATGCACTTTTTTGTTTCCTTTTTTAATTTTTTTCCTGTTGGGCGGGCTCACCTGTGTTGTTTGAGTGTCCCCGCCCCTCGGTTTAGACTGCCTTTGATCATCCCTAGGTTGCTTATTATCATCAAGACGTCTTCTACAATAGGCAGTCAATAAAATATGGTTTTTGTACTCCATGTAAAATCCTTTTCTCGCAGTCCATTGAGGGACACGGCTCCGTCCCTCGTGGTATTGTTCCCTCTTTGGACTGCTTCCTACAACAGATCAGGTGAGAGGGGTTATATTTGCAAGGGGCTGGCCTTGGGTTTTCTATGTGCCCTAGTGTCCATTTCTCCTGTAGGTGGTAGTATATCTCTAGGTTGTGCATCACGAGAAGTGAGCGAGCGCCGGTATGTGTTCTCTCACTTCCCGATCTACTGAGCCGACCTGTGACCGTTTCAGTGTCACGGGTCGGCTCAGATTATGAGGCTGAGTGAAAATCACTCCCCCTCATAATTCTCCTTTTTAATGCACTTTTTTGTTTCCTTTTTTAATTTTTTTCCTGTTGGGCGGGCTCACCTGTGTTGTTTGAGTGTCCCCGCCCCTCGGTTTAGACTGCCTTTGATCATCCCTAGGTTGCTTATTATCATCAAGACGTCTTCTACAATAGGCAGTCAATAAAATATGGTTTTTGTACTCCATGTAAAATCCTTTTCTCGCAGTCCATTGAGGGACACGGCTCCGTCCCTCGTGGTATTGTTCCCTCTTTGGACTGCTTCCTACAACAGATCAGGTGAGAGGGGTTATATTTGCAAGGGGCTGGCCTTGGGTTTTCTATGTGCCCTAGTGTCCATTTCTCCTGTAGGTGGTAGTATATCTCTAGGTTGTGCATCATCATCTAGCCGTGTCCCTCAATGGACTTTTCCTTTTCCATTGGTTACAAAAAAATCCTAACCTCTTAACTAGCTTCACCTTAGCTCATCAGCACAGCTGGTTAGAAAATTCAACAGAAGGTCCCCTGTGACCCCCCGCTGCTTAACCACCCAGACAAAGCGGATGCCCATTGTATAATTGGTGACCAGAACACAGGACTAAGAGAAAGGTTTTTCATTATAAATGAATCTAACATTGACAGGTTCTCTTTAAACACCCACGTACATTCACCTTTTGCTCCGCTCCTCTGCGGCTCTGTTCTTTAGCCGTGGACCTATGCAGTCTTCATGCCTGAGCTTGCACAAGGTCAATGACCTCCCCACCCTCACGAGACTGCGTTTGGGCCTGCCGATTTTGGTGGCTCAGGCCAGAGCGCAGCATACTGGGAGGTAGGAGAGGTCCAATGATCTTCCATTCCCGGACCCACCAGGTATTCCTATATTTGGGTGAGGATGAGCTTTCGAGAGAAATTGTCGTTTTGCCCCAAATGGGTAAAGTGACGGAGTGTATGTACGAGCATGTCGTGTTGCACATGAATTGGTGAACCAGATCCTGGAAAATAATGGAGGTATGGGATGGCTCCTATGGATTGCCAGGATCTTTAGTGTTATTGCATGTACAATAAGAAGACAAAAGGTGATACAAATGAATATAATAGAGGAATAAAGTCCTTTAAGAAGGTTTACAAAGTATATTAAAGAATGAGAACTAGATTGATGATGCTCCCAAGTTTTTAATATACCAAGTCCTTTTGCTTTTTAGGGCCTAATGACATGCCAATGGGAATGGGATCTAGCCCTTATGGTCAGCAAGCACCTTCGAACCCCGGGGGCTCCTGGCCAGAGAGTATGATGGCCATGGATCAGGGGCCGAATGGACCTCAGAACAGGTAAGATGTGTTCCCGGGAATAGCGATTCTAGCGGGAGCCATGTAAGTCTGTCAGGGCTTGTACTGACCACACCGTGACTTCATGATGTCTTGTCATTTCACAGAATGTCTGGGCCGCCTTCGTCTTCCAGGCAACATGGACGGACCACTCTGGATGATCTCCTCTGTCCTCCGTCAACTTTAGAGGGGCAGACCGACGAGATCGCCCTCCTGGACCAACTGCACACCCTTCTGAGCAATACAGATCCCACAGGGCTGGAGGAAATAGATCGGGCCCTAGGGATCCCTGAGCTTGTCAACCAGGTATTTGAGTGTAGGACCAGCTCCCCAAATCATTGTTTGTAGTCTCTAGATAAATGAGAGGTACCCCTATTTCAGGCTCTAAAGGAGAACTATGAGGCGAGTGAAAATCACTCAGTCTCATAGTTCTAGCCGCTGTGACAATGAAACTGTCACAGGTCGGCTCAATAGATCGGGAGGTGACCGAACACATGCCATCGCTCGCTCACTTCTCGATCTATCCGTGTAGAGAGCCGTGACTGTCACTCGCGGCTCCCTGCAGGGATTCCCCCCTCCCTTGTCCGATCCTCCAGCGCTGACTGGCGGAACGGACGGCGGAGGGGGCGGGTACAGCTGGCTCTGCCTCTACATAGGCAGAGCCAGCTGTCACTCACGCAGCTGGGCGGATCTCGACAGTAATGTCGGGATCCATCCCAGTGTCTCATTATACCGCCAGCTGTAGCTCCCTATATACTGAGCTTTGGGTGACGGGAGGACGCTAGTTTGTGTCCTCCCGTTACCCTTAGGAGAACTATGGGGAAAAGTCCTGACCCCATAGTTCTCCTTTTTACTGTTAAATAAGTCAATACCTGCAGCAAATATCCCAGGTCAGATATCCAGAGCATGCACCTTTTGAAATAAGCAAATGGCAGCTTCCATATTGCTATTCTGGGGGGTTCTTTGTAAATGAAATCTCATTTGCTGAGAAAAGACCAATCTTTCATACGGTAGATCCTTAGCTGCTTCCATTCTGTGGTTACACAGAAATACTGTATGATGAGCTTTATAACTGCGGAGGTGTATGCGAGGGGGAAGTCTCATAAGGCAAGTGGATGGGGGACCAGTCACGGTAATTGCAATATTGGATCTGATGGGACCATCTATTTCACGGTTGTAGATTCAACAGCCCAATTGTAGCTCGAGTGGCCTGCTTTCTAGGTGCGCTGGGGAAGATGAGACACTGCCTATCTCCTGTGCTGATACCTGGAAGTTGTGTTACTCTGATCTGCCAATGTTTCTTTATATGTGAACACAAGTTGACTAAAACTTCCCTCTCTCTGTTTCCTAACACAGGGCCAGACTCTAGACTCCCAACCAGATAGCTTCCAGCCGCAAGACTCCCCGGTGCTGATGGATCAGAAGCCCCCAATGTACGGACAGCCGTATGCAGGACAGGGGTCCGCCATGCAGGCCGGGGGCTTCAATAGTATGCAGGGCCAGCACCCTCAATTCAACTCTATGATGGGACAGATGGGCCAGCAGCAAGGAAATTTCCAAATGCAAGGAATGCACCCCAGAGCCACCCTTATGAGGCCCCGGACCAACATCCCCAAACAGCTGAGGATGCAGCTACAGCAGAGGCTCCAAGGCCAGCAGGTGAGGGAGCGCGTTTCATGACTGCAGCGCAGCACGCAACATCATTCATCACTTTACTAGTCGCAGCTGTATGGAACACGGTGTATCGGCATTTCCCGTTTACATCAGTAGTGTTCCACCAACAGCTAAAATCTGGAGGGAAATGCATGCAGACACGATGTGTTATTTACTAGAGAACTGCTTTTATGTTTGCTTGGTAGTTGTAAAGTATTTCTCTTTATTCCCTCCTTATACCTCTAAGCCCTTCCTATGCCATGGACGTCTCCTTCAAGAGATGTAGTGTTTAATCCAGGCACCGTCTTCCCCACTGCGGCTCATAGTTGTAGATATGTGCGTTCCTTGTAGTGGCCCATCGGCATTATCTAATGTAGGGATGCACCGATATATCGGCACCGATAAGTGCAATTTTTGTGCCGATACATCTGTGCATCCGTGATTTCTTTCCTCCCTGCTTGGCGCTGCTCTATGTCTCAGCGGGGAGGAGAGAAAGTGTGACAGCCAGCCGAGCGCTGCGGAAGGGGAGCGCTGCGAGTGGCCGGCGTCTCTCCTCCCCGCACAACTCAGCCTCCTATCACAGTCCGGCAGAGCGGTGTGTGGGCGGAGACGGCGCTTTCACAGGAGGCTGAGCTCTGCTCCCCGCACCGCTCGCCCAGCCTCCTGTGACAGCGTATCAGAGAGGAGAGCGGGTACAAGTAGTCAGGGATCGCTGAGTGTTTGTAGATAATTGAGGACATGGTATGGTTACTATAGCCCCAATTATGAATGAATGGGAAGTGATCTATATCAGTGGTCAATGTTCATTCATAGCTGTAGTTATAGTAACCATACTCTGTCCTCATGTTATCAATGATCAGGAACACTCAGCATAGAGGATTCCTGTTTATTCATAACAGGGTACAGAAAAAAAGATTGAGGTCTCTGGGAACTTTGTGTCCTCAATCTCTTTTTCTATTTTAAAAGGGAAATATCAGGGGGTCTGTTTAAATTTTTTTTTATTTCGGTGCACCTCTCATCTAATGTCTAGATAGTGACATCTGCCAGACAGTAGAGAGAACCTGTCACCTTACATCTGTCACATTAGCTCAGCACTAATCACTAATAGCTGGGGATCATAGCAGGCCGGGGTGGGAAACCTAGCTGAAGCCCCAATGTCATCTGTAAATAGCAGCTCCAGTCACATGGTCTGAAGTGGTGTCCGCAAGGTCTGAAGAATGCTGGATAACATGGGATGGCAATTGCTCACATCCATTCCTAACTAGCAAAAGAAAATGTGCGCATGGCCAGGGCTGTACGGTTTATGTTCACATTAGTGTCCTCTTATCTGGGCTCCCTTCACTCCATATGGGCATGCCTTGTCCTCGGTCAGGCAGAGTGCCCCTTTATACTTTCTCACATCTACACATTGAGGAATGCGTCTGTATGGGATTGTATTGCTATTATTAGACAAGTGATAATCCGCCATTCTGCTACTCCGCAGTTCCTGAACCAAAGTAGACAAGCACTTGAGATGAAGGTGGAAGGTATGAACGCGGGCGGCGCTGGGGTGATGCGGCCTGTGATGCAGACGCCTGTACAGTCCCAGGTAAGTTGCGGCCTTTACTCTGTACTCTCGTAGAGGGTCACACTTTGTCCTACTACTAAAGCACTGCTATTGGTGTGATCCACAGAAGACGGATATGTCACTCGCAATGTAATTACTTCTGCTGAGTATTATCTAGGGACGCACCGATACCGGTATTTTGGTGCCGAGTACCGATAATTTTTTTCCGGTACTCGCCGATAGCAATTACCGGGTACCAGAAGTCCCATTCAGGAAGCCGGGTGGCGTGTAATGACTCGCCACCTGGCTTCCTGATTAGCCGGGCAGCATGTAAAGACTCGCCACCCGGCTTCCCGACTAACAAGAAAGCCGTCCCATACGAATCCCCATAATAATAATCATACGATCCAGCACATGTCTCTGCAGTGCGGATCTCTGTCCCGTCTCACCTCGGCATGTCCAGCCTGTCACCCCCGGGGCCTCTCCCGCCAGGAGCGGCCTTCCTCCGGTACCCAGCCGGAGCCGTCTTGCTGGCCAATCATGGAGGCCGGGCGTCGTGTAATGACGCGCCGCCCTGCTTTCCGGGAGGCCGGCTCCATGCTCCCTCGTCATCTCATGACGAATCCGGCCAATCAGAATGCCGGGTGCTGCGTCATTACACGGCGCCCGGCTTCCTGATTGGCCAGCTTCCCGACCAATCGGGAAACCTGAGTGACCAAGTGACGAGAAAGCATGGAGCCGCTTCCTGGCCAATCAGAAAACTGGGCGGCGTGTAATGACGCGCTGCCCGGCTTCCTGATACAGGAAGTACTGGTGCTAGGCATCGGAGCATTTGGGTGAGTATTGGTATCGGTGCATCCCTAGTATTATCTTTCTGGAATCTTATACTAGTTTGCTTTTGGAGTTTTCCTTTATAACGTTCTGAACCTCCCGGTTGGCCGACGCAATCCTGCTGCCCCCCAGAATCCAATGTTATTTGTGTTCGCCTTTCCCGTAGTGTCTTCTGTGTATTAGAGGAGACGGAAAGGCTCGTTGTACACAGATGGAGGTTTTAATATGCAGCCCGGCTGATTGTATATTTTATCAGTATTAGCGCCGACGCCTCTTGTTTTACAGCAGGGCTTCCTGAATGCTCAAATGGTTGCTCAGCGGAACCGAGAGCTCCTCAGCCACCAGATCCGCCAGCAGAGGATGGCCATCATAATGCAACAGGGGCAGGCGCAGGGGTTCAGCCCTCCTCCCAATGTGACTGCTTCTGCCAGTATGGAGAACCCCATGGCTGGACCTCCCATGCCTCAGGCTCCTCCCCAGCAGTTCTCCTACCCACTTAATTATGGTAAGTGTCTCTCAGCCCATTCCAAGCTGGTAATGTTTGTAATTTTGAGTCGTCTTCTGATGTCTTTCCTCAATCCCCCTGTAGCTTCTTTATGTCCTTATGAATATATTCTGCTTTCCAGGAATGAGTCAGCAAGCTGATCCCACCTTCGGAAGGGTTTCCAGTCCCCCCCAACCCATGATGTCATCTCGTATGCCTCCTTCCCAGAATCCCCACCCTCAGCCGACACAGATGTACCAGTCACCCGACATGAAGGGCTGGCCATCAGGAACTATAGCGAGACCCAGGTAATAGCTCTCATCATGCCCAAGCACTGCGCCCCATTTCCTCAGTCCAGGGTTATTGGCAGTTTATGGTGATGAATCCCCTTTGCTGATGGTACCCATTGTGTCGTTGCAGCTCGTTCCCGCAGCAGTACAGCCACCAGGGCAATCCCGCCACTTACAACATGATGCACATGAGCAGTAATGGTAACCACATGGGCCAAATGGCTATGAACTCCTTGCCCATGTCGGGCATGCCGATGGGACCGGACCAGGTGACTGCAATTTTATACTACCAGGACTAATCTGGCTGTACGACACTCGTCCTTCCTAACACCCTTCCTCTTCCTATCTCTTCCTCTGTCCTTCTTACAACTCTTTGGGGTCAATTCACTAGACCAGGGGCGCCCACAATTGTTCGTTCGGAGATCTACTTTTCAAATGACGAGCTCAATGAGATAACGAAAAAACACCTGCATTCGGGGGGGGGGCGGGGGGAGCATGGCGGTGCATTGAATTGCAATGGCACCGCAGCCACGCCCCTCACCCGCAATGTGATCACCCGCACCCGGAACGCAGGCACACTAGTGCGATCACCCAGAGCGCAGGAACACCCGCACCCGGAACGAAGGCACACAGTGCAATCACCCGCACCCGGAACGCAGGCACACAGTGCAATCACCCGCACCCGGAACGCAGGCACACTCCAGTGCGATCTGCAAAAAAGCTGCAAGCACTTTTTTTGCAGATTGCACTAGACCGGAATGCAGGCAGGCGATCGCACTGTGGGCGGTGGGCGTGGCTGCAGTGCCATTGACTTCAATACACCCCCCCGCCCCTGAATGCAGGGAGTCGGCCGGCTTGCATTCCAGTGCGTTCTAGAGGCGCCGGCGTCCTGTCCTCCCGCCGTGCTCGTGTGGCCGACGTTACACACAGGGAGAGGTGTCCCGCCGCTTTCCGTCTGCCGCGTCTAAAACATTTTAGATCGCTTTGCGATCGACTGGTAGATCGCGATCGACCTAATGGGCACCCCTGCATTAAAGGAGAACTATGAGATAAGTGATTTCCACTCACCTCATAGTTCTAGCCGACCTGTGACAATGAGACTGTCACAGGTCGGCTCAGTAGATCGGGAGGTGAGCGAACACATACCGGCGTTCGCTCACCTCTCGATCCTGTCACGGCTCTCTGCCGTGACAGGGGGAGGGGCTGGATTCCCCCCTCCCCGCTCCGATCTGCCAACGCTGACTGGTAGAATGGATGGGGAGGGGGCGGGTACAGCTGTCTCTGCCTCTAGATTGGCAGAGCCAGCTGTCACTCACGCAGCTGGGCGGATCCCGTCATCTACGCCGGGATCCGCTCCGGCTGCGGCGTCTCAGTATACCGCGAGCTGTAGCTCCCTATATACTGAGCTTAGGGTAACGGGAGGACGCTAGTTTGTGTCCTCCCGTCACCCTAAGGAGAACTATGGGGAAAAGCCCTAACCCCATAGTTCTCCTTTTCAGCTTTGTGTTTTCAGTCCACTTGCTGCATCTGTCGCCTGCATGTTATTTTGTTGCCTGTTCACTTCACTAAAAGCAGCGTGGACTTCCTATCCTCCAGGTGTATGTCCTGCCAGAATGTGCTTTTTACTTTTTAAGCATTGGAACCCCCGGTCATGGTTAACTGCTGTCCGGGGCTCTGTTAGGGGGGGCGGGGTTCCCCTCACTTCCTGTTTTGCCGGGTTTTTTTTATCCCCAGACAGGAAGTGAGAGGGACTCCCCAACACCCAGAGTTCCACTAACTTGCTGTCTGAAGTTTTACATTGTTTTGTAATTCTCTATCTCCGTTCCTTTTTATTGATTTTTGTTATTTGTTGCCTCTCCCCTTTTTTTGTAGAAGTACTGCTGACGTTGCGCGGCCGCCGCGGAGGAAAGTGTGCGCTATAGAGGAGACATTTCTATTCAAAAAAAATAAATACAAATATTCTATTTCTGCAGCAAGTTGCGTCTTGCTTTGGCCTTACCAAGGACACCAGTTCTGTTTTTCTTCCTGTCTCGGGAGGAGGGCCTGCCGGAGAAAGCTGGGCCCGGACTTTTCGGGGGCGTCGGGAACACTCGACGTAGTGCGTCCGCGGGACAGACAACGGTCGCCGGCTGTATTTTGGTGCTCAGAGACGCACGATGTGAATCCGGGTGGTTAGCGTTTTCATCCATAAGCTGGTCTGACGCTTTGTTTAGGCGACTTGGGAAACCTTTTTTTTTTTTTTGTTGTTTTTTTTCTCTATCTTTATCCCAAAGCACCTAAAAAAAAAACATTTCTAAGTGAAACCTTAAGATGAAAGTTTGCTTCTTTTTTACCTTGTGATCAGAGTAGTATTGAGCCTGGAATTTTCCGGCTTCATTGTCTGAGAATGAGATTGCAATAGCCCCCCCTTTCCCCCCCATTCTGTATAAATAGCACGAGCAGGCATTGAGCTTGTCTAGCCCCTTCCTCTTCACCACAGTGTAAACTTTTTGTACATATGATCTTTATTAATGTATATGATTTTTTTTTTTTCCTCCCTAGGTCAGTGTTTCTGGGTTTTTTGTATTTTTCTCAGAGCTTTTAAAGCTGTTATATTTAACCCCGTGCCCGCCATGGGTTGACAGCAACTTCTTTTTATGTCTGACAATAGATTGGTCAATTCCTGTGGGGGAGGGGCTTGGGGGTCTAATAATGATCGCTCTCCTTATTCCTCGATCCGAGGAAGTCGTGACCCTCGCGGGTTTGTGTGGTTTTTTTTTTTGGCATTTTTTTTTTTTTTTTTTTAGTGTCGCTACAGCAGGACCCTTTTATGGAGCGGATTTTGCCGCGATTCAAATGCTTTCAATGCAAGCATTTGCGCCATATCGCGCGGCAAATCTCGCGATATCACGCAAAATGCAAATCGCGCGGCAAACGCGCGATTTGCATATCGCGGAGTGTGAATGGGGCCTTAAGAGGCCCCCATTACAGCTCCCTCTGAGCTAAGATTCCCGGCTCCCTTTTAGGGTGAAAACACACTGATACGGCGCCATTACTTATGAATGGCGCCCCGACTTACTAAGGTAACGCACCCGCGCTACAGCACACCACAGCCAACAAAAAACACTACTGTGCGTTGTGGTGTGCTGTGTTGCCAGGAATGGTGCTTGTCGTTGTAATTTTGGAGGTCTTGGTGCACTGCCGGCCCGTTCCGGCTGCCTTAACGTAGGACACGTTGGCGCGCACAAAGTGCAGTAACGTATGCGCGTTAAAGCGGCGCAGCGGGGCACCGACATCTACATGGCCCCTTAGACTCATCAATGTAGAGATATTTCACGAGGGTTAGCACAGATATCACCCGGTGTTCTGAAATGTTTAAATATAGCAATATCTGCGTGTTGTGACATCTCCGCTTTGTTCTCGTTGCTCCGGTTTGACTGAATGTTCATCTCTTTTCCTGAGTCCTTTCCAGTGTCGGCGTTTGATGGGCCGCTCATGTCATGAGCCGATGAACTCTGCGGAGGATAAGTACAGATAATTCTTCATGGAAAAGATAAACGCGCCATCAACTATCAATTCAAGATGAATTGCCCGTCCCCGTTCCCGGTTTCCCCCGTTATCCTCCGTAGTGGAATCTTATTGGCTGGAGTCGTCACCTGATTGCAGAAATTTAGCCCTCTGCCCTTTTGTATGCATACAGACTGAAGGACAGTTGCATTACCGCCCCTCCCCCCACACCCCGTTCCAAGAATGCTGTGTGTAATATTTCAGGATTCATTGTTTTGTGTTCCTGGTTAGTTTTCCATGTCCCTCTTTCTATGAAATGATACCGGAGTTCATTTTTGTATTTCCCCAAAATCCCCCCCCCCGTCCCCCACACACACTGCCTTGTGGCGAGTTCAGTCTTAGGTTTAGCGCCCAATGGTGTTTTAGATGTGGTTTGTAGCCAATAGGGAGCCGGGATGAGACCATCTGTATTAATGTCTCTCAATGTGTCATTTTGGGGACCCGCAATGCAGGTAGCGGTGCAGCCAATGGGGGAAGAGAAGAGGAAGTGTGCGGTTTTGGAAGTCCATTATAATCCGCTCCGTCCGCAGAACCTTCTCCATGTGGAATTATCTGTACTTGCCGCCCTTCGGTTCTGCCGCCTCCTATTTGGCGTGCCCCCGGAACGTGGAATTCAGATCTGTTACTTTCCCCGCTTCCCTAACAAACTTCTTTCTGCTTTTCCAAAGTTAACGAAATGAATGTTACTTTTGTGCTGCTTAGTATACACGGAATGTAAGAACGGCGCAGTGGGCGGCCCATTGCAGT